TTAATCCCATATGTTCTGTTATTTCGTTTACGCTTTTCTCATTTAACGAGGACCTCCACGGGTTCAATTGACCGCGTAAATCGAGACTAATACTAATAATGGTCATGCTGCTTTGACCTTATTTTCCTATCTATCCAATACTAGTCAATGATGTTGTGACTTACATCTTGTTGTGTCACACCTTTATGTTAATTGTGTCAGCTATACCCCTATCATGTCTTCCATTAAACCAAGGTTACACACAGTAGACCTTATGATAAGGCCATTACCACAGAGGATGATAGAGCACTCTCTTATAAACCATATTATCCCTCACATTAGTTTACTGGCTACCATTCTGAGGGACAATACAGCATGGTGGATATTAACCATGTGAACCCCAGCCACCAAACACACATTCTTCACTCTGTCTTCAGTATTGTAATGTTTATGTCGTGATTATCTAATAATGGTCTAACCTATTATGTTAAATAATCTAAAACTTAATTGGGTAAATTGATTCGTGAATTTATTAAAGAAAACAATGACATGTTTTCCCTGTCCATATTGAGAAATGGAAGGTGAACGTTGAACTGCTTGGGTGCTTGTTTGTGTGGTGAGGCAGTGTACAGGTACCTGCCATCCAGTAAAGGTAGGGGCAGACCCTCCACCTTGGGGGCAGTGTACAGGCACCTGCCATCCAGTAAAGGTAGGGGCAGACCCTCCACCTTGGGGGCAGTGTACAGGTACCTGCCATCCAGTAAAGGTAGGGGCAGACCCTCCACCTTGGGGGCAGTGTACAGGTACCTGCCATCCAGTAAAGGTAGGGGCAGACCCTCCACCTTGGGGGCAGTGTACAGGTACCTGCCATCCAGTAAAGGTAGGGGCAGACCCTCCACCTTGGGGGCAGTGTACAGGTACCTGCCATCCAGTAAAGGTAGGGGCAGACCCTCCACCTTGGGGGCAGTGTACAGGTACCTGCCATCCAGTAAAGGTAGGGGCAGACCCTCCACCTTGGGGGCAGTGTACAGGTACCTGCCATCCAGTAAAGGTAGGGGCAGACCCTCCACCTTGGGGGCAGTGTACAGGTACCTGCCATCCAGTAAAGGTAGGGGCAGACCCTCCACCTTGGGGGCAGTGTACAGGTACCTGCCATCCAGTAAAGGTAGGGGCAGACCCTCCACCTTGGGGGCAGTGTACAGGTACCTGCCATCCAGTAAAGGTAGGGGCAGACCCTCCACCTTGACTGTATCGAGAACTTTTGTCCGGGACTTTACATAGCTTTATTATACTGTACATAACATTATTATACTGTACATAGCTTTATTATACTGTACATAACATTATTATACTGTACATAATATTATTATACTGTACATAGCTTTATTATACTGTACATAACATTATTATACTGTACATAGCTTTATTATACTGTACATAACATTATTATACTGTACATAATATTATTATACTGTACATAACATTAATATACTGTACATAGCTTTATTATACTGTACTGTACATAACATTATTATACTGTACATAATATTATTATACTGTACATAACATTATTATACTGTACATAGCTTTATTATACTGTACATAACATTATTATACTGTACATAGCTTTATTATACTGTACATAGCTTTATTATACTGTACATAACATTATTATACTGTACATAGCTTTATTATACTGTACATAACATTATTATACTGTACATAACATTATTATACTGTACATAGCTTTATTATACTGTACATAGCTTTATTATACTGTACATAGCTTTATTATACTGTACATAACATTATTATACTGTACATAACATTATTATACTGTACATAACATTATTATACTGTACATAATATTATTATACTGTACATAACATTATTATACTGTACATAATATTATTATACTGTACATAGCTTTATTATACTGTACATAACATTATTATACTGTACATAGCTTTATTATACTGTACATAACATTATTATACTGTACATAATATTATTATACTGTACATAACATTATTATACTGTACATAATATTATTATACTGTACATAGCTTTATTATACTGTACATAACATTATTATACTGTACATAGCTTTATTATACTGTACATAGCTTTATTATACTGTACATAACATTATTATACTGTACATAGCTTTATTATACTGTACATAACATTATTATACTGTACATAACATTATTATACTGTACATAGCTTTATTATACTGTACATAACTTTATTATACTGTACATAGCTTTATTATACTGTAACATAACATTATTATACTGTACATAACATTATTATACTGTACATAACATTATTATACTGTACATAATATTATTATACTGTACATAACATTATTATACTGTACATAATATTATTATACTGTACATAGCTTTATTATACTGTACATAACATTATTATACTGTACATAGCTTTATTATACTGTACATAACATTATTATACTGTACATAATATTATTATACTGTACATAACATTATTATACTGTACATAATATTATTATACTGTACATAACATTATTATACTGTACATAACATTATTATACTGTACATAATATTATTATACTGTACATAACATTATTATACTGTACATAATATTATTATACTGTACATAGCTTTATTATACTGTACATAACATTATTATACTGTACATAGCTTTATTATACTGTACATAACATTATTATACTGTACATAGCTTTATTATACTGTACATAACATTATTATACTGTACATAACATTATTATACTGTACAGTAGGGGGCAGTGAAATTTTGCTCAAAGCTGCACTCTTCAGGCATTGTTCCTTATACATATCTAAGACTCCATGCCAAATTTGAAGCTGATATGTCGAGGTTTAGTCTGCCGCATTTTCTACTGAAATTTTTAAATTTACCTACAGTACTAGCCAAACAGCCGCTGTGGCGGTGCAATGTTCTGTTCAGTGTTTATCAACTTTTTTTTCATATCTCTTATTTCATTTAAGTTGTCTTGTTGCAGATGAGTATGGTGCTATGTCTATATTGATTATCAGCCTTTTCTCATTTCATTTCTCAATGTTGTGTTACTGTACTGTAATGTAGGGAAGACCGCCACTCGTGTGATGATAAAGAATGAGAAGACCGAGAAATGGAGTTCGAGGATGATGGTGAAAGATCATTATGTCATCATGGTTGAGCCTGGCAATGAATATCTCACACATGTGACTCCCAAGACTGGACACGGAAAGCAGATTGCCAAAACTATTCACGAGTTTCTGGTGGAGAAAAATCTAACCCAGCAGCCCATTGTGTGTGTTGGTTGTGATGGAACCAATGTAAATGTAGGATCAGAAAATGGAGTCATTCATCATCTTGAAATGTTACTTGGTCACCCGCTCCATTATTTCATATGTCAGCTTCACGGAAATGAGCTGCCTTTCCGCGCAGTTTTTTATCACTATGATGGTAAACCAAGTGGTCCTGAGCATTAGCGTGGTCCCATTGGAAAGCAGATCAAGGAGTCTTTGTCTGAGCTTCCAGTTGTCGCCTTCCAGCCAGTCAGTTTCCCTGATTTCCCTGTGTTTAATGATGAAGTGGAGAAAGATCTGTCCTGGGATCAGAAATACCTGTATAGGATTTGTAAAGGAGTTATCACAGGTGTTGTTGAAGATGACTTGGCTGCTATTGAGCCAGGTCCTCCCTGTGTGTCAAGGTGGAACACCTTATGGAGTAGAATCCTCAGGCTGTATGTAGCAACATCAAGACCCAGCCATGAGTTGAAAAGAATTGTCATTACAATAATAAAGTTCAGTGCTCCAATGTGGTTTTACATCAAGATACACCCTTACGTAACACACGGCTCAAGGAACGTATTCCAGTCCCTGCTATATATGAAACACCTGAATAGTGAGGAGGAGACGATAGTGAAGAAGGCTGTCCAGAGAAATGCATACTTCGCCCACACAGATCAACTTCTTCTTGGTATGTGTGCAGATGAGGACATGACTGTTAGAGAAAAAGCTGTCTCAATGATAAGAAAAATTAGAGAGGAGAATCAGCAAAAGGAAGAATGCACTGGCAGATCTGAAGAGGAGGAGGAAGATTCTGATGCTGCTGTTGACGAGAATTTGTTAAACTATACTGATGAGGAGGGTAAAGATGGAGATGGGAATGAGGATGTGCCTCCTGTAGTCAACATGAGAAAGGTGGTGACTCCGAAACTAAAGTGGCAAGCAAAAAACTATCATTCCATGATTAACTGGAGGAATGAACTCAAGACTGAGCCTCCTTACATTGCTTCTCTGTCAAATCTACAGGTTAATGACATTCTTGAGACACCATTAGTGGTGCCCAAGTGGCCAAACAGCACTCAGGCGGTCGAGAGAGGCATAAAAGTGATGACTGAAGCTTGCACTGAAGTGACGGGATACGAATCGAGAGATGGATATATTAGGCAAAGATTATTGTCTAGGAAAATGATGCCAAGGTTCCGCACAAAAAAGAATTTCAATATGAACTTGTAATGATTTTCTATACGGTGTACCTGTAAAATAACATGTGAATTAAATCGATGTCACCCATGTAAAATTTATCATTATCCTGGAAAACATTAAATGACACCTAATTTTTGGTATACACTAAAAGTTGACAAAAAGTCATTCGCGATGCGGCAGGGTAAGTATGCCTGAAATGGCATGAAATTTTGCACAGGTGTTTGTTACAGCCATACAAACGATGCCTGAAAAGTGCAGCCTGCAACTCAAATAAAAGTGTTTTTTCCCTGCCCGCTACTGTACATAGCTTTATTATACTGTACATAGCATTATTATACTGTACATAGCTTTATTATACTGTACATAACATTATTATACTGTACATAACATTATTATACTGTACATAGCTTTATTATACTGTACATAGCTTTATTATACTGTACATAATATTATTATACTGTACATTACATTATTATACTGTACACAGCATTACTATAATAGTGATTTTTGCTTCAACAGGTATGGCCGGGGATTTGGAATCATTGGGGAGGTTCTGGGTAAAGACCACATCTTGAACCAACCCAACAGCATCCCTGGGATCATCTTTTACTGCCTTGTCATTCTCCTCGGTGAGTTAATAACAAGGCACAGTCCAGTCACCCCTCTGCTCTACACGCCAGTAGTTTATAATACTGAAAATAACTTGCAGTGTTTTCTTTGGACAATTTATAACTATATGTTGGTGGTACTGTATGTTAAAGGTTGAATCCTGCTCGGCCCAGTATACTGCCAGACTCGGGGTCACTAACGCTAAGGGGGAATACTTAACTCTAATCTTAATTTCTAAGGGTCGCTGCCACCAGACCCCCTCTGGACAGCATGTAGCTCGTTAGGTAGTGTGCAGAGTGGACTAGGCATTGGGTTAGGTTTTCCATTGACCAGATCGATAAGGGGAAAGAAGGGTGAAACCATAACATGTCTTAATTAATTTATTCCTTATAAAGCATACTGGTAAAAAACATACAAATGAAATGGTCTTCCTCAGAAGAACAACGAAAATGTTGGTTACCCAGATGGGCACCAGACTCTTACATTAATGGCGTGTCATCCACATACTTATTGCATAACAATCTGTGACCTCCTTACCTCGGTCATTCCTTCTTACACTATCCCTTAACACATCAGACTGCTCCACCTGTATGGAATATAGCACTGTCAGTTATCATACATAGTAGCACCATCTCAACACACATGTTACAATCCACCCCTGCAGGTATGGGACTCCTTGTAACTTTAAAGGTATACACAACAGGCACCTCGTTCGCACACCGCCCTCGGTGGGTAAAGACGAGGGCTTCACCAAGAGACATACCAGTACCATTTCTACGCCTGGTATTATAGGTCGCTCCAAGTGACGACCGCAGAGTTTCTCACGGTCTCCTTATTTGTTACTACTCATTTGGAGTGAGGTGCTGGAAATCCACAGGTTCACAGTGGATCGGCATAGCTGGGAGCAGTCACCACCTGTTGGGACGCTCATAGGGATAATGGCTGCCGCCCAGCAAGGCACTCCGACCGCATGGGACCTGAGGTGACGGTAGAACAGAGGGTACTGAGAAATAATGCCTGATGGGCGGTTATCACACCCCCTAACACATTACTATTACACTTATACATCAGGCAAAGCTTTAAACTGTAGTAACTTCTATATAAGCCTTAATTATAGGGTGGGATATAGCCCGATAGGACACTGATCTGAGGTGACAGTAGAACAAGAGGGACTGAGTGCAGTGCCCCGCCGCTCGTCACTGAGTAGGCCTACAGCTTCCAATCTTTAATTTTTACTTTTATTTCTTACGGTTCTCACCTGGACACTTTTCGACATGTTGTCACTCATGCCTTATAAACACATATTTTAACCCTAAAGTACAAACTAAGGTAAGGTTCTGGTTTGCTAATTCGTGGGTAAATTCATTGGGTTATAATATCAACATGGCACACTCGAGGCAGGTGCAGGACGCGCCTTAAAACAAAGGCCGAATGTTCATGGCGGGGGTGTATCAACTTCACTTAAAACTGTAATGAGGGATCCTCCTCTCACACATTGCACTATTTGAACACAGACATAAGATTCTCTGATCACTGTACCTGTCGTGGGTATATGTCACGTGAGGATACGAGGTGTATTAAGTTCATACCGACGCATACAAGATATTTCCTTTCAAGTATAGTTTCTGGGTCACTTCCAACACCTCACATATTTCTGATACATTTATCCTTTTTCCAGATCATTGTTCTCATGTATTTTCATATGATATCTGCGGAAGTTATGTTCGCTACACGTTCACAGACGTAAATAGTATGACCTTCAAACCATGATCTCCACTTAGTCCTACAGTACACTAGTCCGGCTCAACTGGACTTTGACATTCATCTTATGGATGCCCTAAGTTCTCCTTAATGCTATGAATACATACAATTAATATTATATAACCGTACCTGGGTACAATACAACACATGATTCAGTAACATTGAGTAGGTGAGTTATTCCTTATCAATGTTTCCCGTTTTCTGAGGTTCTACAAGCGCGGTGCATTTGAATGTTATATAGCGTAATATGAATTAAATGGGGTTTTTAGGAATGACAATGATGTGCGCAGTACACCAGACACGTGCATCCCAGTGTGACTCACTACCAAACTTCACAGGTTTCCTGATTCCAATTTCCTCCTTTACTAACACTGGATAGACCAACTGACCAAACAACTAGTTAGTTGATAATTGGTAAAAAGCTTAAAAAATAAATAAATACAGCTCCTCCCCGACTTACGACGGGGTTAGGGACCTAAATCTGGGTCGTAAGTTGAAATGGTCGTAAGTCGGAAATGCTTCAATAATACATAGAAAATCTAAAATGGGTGTCTCTTTTTCTTCTCAGCACCACAAAACTCTCACTTTTAAGCTTGCCAGCCATTTTAAAGTGAATTACAAACGAAAATTTTGTCTGTGTACTGATGTTGGGACTCAAAAATACGTAATTTGACAAAATTTTGGTACGACTGAGGCAGGCCGTAAGTGAGGGTGGTCGTAAGTCAAGTAAGTCGTAAGTTGGGGAGGAGCTGTACAGTAAAATATTCATACTGGTGGCCTCCACCTCTCTCCTGAAGGCCCCAGAAAGAGTATACTGTACTGTATTTCATATCCAGTATGTAAGAAAGTATCCACGTAAACATACAACAATACATATTTGCGAGGGTTAAAAAGGTTTACGTACCTGGCAGGCCTCATGGGCACAAATACTGTAAGTACAGTACCTTTGTTTGGTGACTTAAACATTAAATCTTAAAAATCCTTGGGTGTCACTTACTCAGCTTTGCTATCTGATACTGTAGTATTGTAACTGTGGAAGAAGTACTGTACTACAGTACAAACCAAACATTCTGTTCTTTAAATTTTACTCGGGGAAAATATTGTGTGCCTCTTGCATGCTAAGTTAACCCCTTCACTATGGAGATGCCACTTTTAATATTTTATTTGGCTAATGTCAGATGATTTTATTCAGTACAGAGGTGATCCTGTACTCAAGTGGTTAAAGCTTTTGAAAAATGACAAACATTTTATCATTGGGTAACTGTAGAGACTTGTGTTCCCGGGCACCAGGGCCCGGCCTTGTCAGAGTCAGATCTAATAATGGTCTTAATTAAAAAGATTAATTATAGTTCACCGACATACTACACATATAGTACAGGTACAGTACAGTACACTGGACCCTCACTTTATGTACGTTCACTATATGCAAATTCACGTTTATACGGTGACTATTTCTACCCATAATTAATTTTATTTGAAAAGATTGCCCGTTATGTGTTCTGTAGAAGATATGGTGCACTAGTTTTATATTATACAGTCAACCCTCACTTTACGCGGTCCTACATTCGGCGTTTCCACGTTTACACGGTGCCCTGCCAGAACCCAGGATGCTCACATTCCGCGGTGGGTGTACCCCTTTACGCGGGTGAAGTATAATTTTTTTATTTAGCTCATAAAATTCATACAAATTATCCGGCCAGAATATAATTTACATTGCTGGAATTCTTACAATTTGATGATCATTTTGAATATAAACATCATAGATTTTGCATTAGACATACAAATTTTAGATATAATGTTTACTCTGAGTAAATATGTTATCTTTTGTGCAAAATATATGACATATATATTCAAAATATTCCTGGTCTTACAAGGAATCCAGCAATATCAATTATATTATCCTAACTTTAGTTTGAGGTATTATTTATTACTATACCTGGTTTTCCCCCCAAAATTTCTGAGAGGGAAGAGCCAGCGAGTGTAGTGTGAGAAGAGGGGGAGGGAGTTGAGTCCATTATTTGAATGGACATTAACTTGGCGACTGTATTTCTCTATTTCTCTTAAGTATTAATTGTGTGCATGTACCATCATAAAATTAAGATGTTATTTTTACTAGAACATAGGTATTGTGTTGGAAAAAGTGGACTTTGGGGGTCAGCTGGTCTCTATTTCATTTAATCCCATATGTTATGTTATTCACTTTACGCGTTTCTCACTTTCCGCGGTACCCTGTGGGTTACATTAACCGCGTAAAGTGAGGGTTGACTGTATTATACAGTGGTCCCTCGATTAACGAACACAATTGGTTCCACAGAGTCGGTTGTTCACTGAAAGTCTCGTTAACTGAATCTATTATTTCAATGGGATATTGGGCAATTGGTTCCAACTCACAGAAAAAGATACCGTATTTTTCGGCTTGGAAGACGCACTTTTTATTACAAAAATATACCTTGAAAATTACCATGCGTCTTCCACGACACTGGTTGATGGGTTGTAGCGGAGGTTTTCTTAGGGTCAACTGAAATCAGCCCCTTACAAAGACTGTTACCTCATTACTTTGCAATTACAAGTATTGTCTATACTATAAAACAATTGATTTAACTAATATTGTTGATATCTGCAAAAAATACGATTATTTACTTACTCAGTCGGTAAAAAATAAACGGCTGCAGCTACACAACCCTTGCTGCTGTGCGGTGTGTTTACTAATGGCAGTGGTGCGGCAGCGCCATCTATTGAGGAATTGCGTCATTGTCTTGCCGACAAAATCAAGAGAAAGAATGTAAACACTACAGTCCGCTAGACGCAGAGGTGACCAGGTGTAGAAAATGAGCGCTGTCTTAAAGATTTCACCTTATACAGATATTTTTTTTTAATTGATGAAAATGATGACTGATAAGCAGTTCTAAGTGATGATATTCAAAGAGGTGTGTGTACTTGTGCCAAAAGGGCTGTATATCAACCACTGGTGTCGGTTAGTAAGTATTAAAAGTTTTTCCTAGAATTACATTTCCAAAATCAGGGAGCGTCTTCCACGATGCAGCGTCTTCTACACCACAAAATACAGCTGTGTGCCACTGGATTTTCTTAAAATTTCATGCACATGAACTGTTTTATGGGGATGCATAAATATCAAGAAGGTTGTACTATTCAATAATTTTCCAAGTTTTATATTAAAATTTTGAGTAATTTTAACACGTATTTAACGTAATTGCAGTACAGGGAGCTAGTTTATGATGCGCCCATCAGCCACTTCACT